TTTTTTTTTTTTTTTTTTTTATTGTAGAGATGAGGGCTTGCCAAGTTGCCCAGGCTGGTCTCAGACCTTGGGCTCAGGCAATCCTCTGCCTTCCAAAGTGCTGGGATGACAGGCTTGAGCCACCACACGGGCGGGATTCGGACTTAAATGACAACCTGAGCCTTCGACTTTGTCTTAATTGGAAGCAACTGAGTCAGTCTCGCAGGGTTGGCAAACCCTATTCCCTGCAAGGCTGCTATGGTGTTTCCTGCTGCCTGGAGTGGAGAGGGTTGGAGTGAGCTTTGGAACCAGATGCCCAGGACTCAGTGCCCCCACCCTAGACCTGTGACTTTGGACATCTTAATCTTTCAGAGTTGTGTCATTGAATGTACAGTCACGCATCATTTAACCAGGAACATACATCCTAAGAAACGTGTTCTTCAGCGATTTCCTTGTGTAAACATCATGGAGTATTCTTACAGAAACCTGGAAGGTATAGCCCACTATACGCTTAGGCTGTGTGGTACAGCCTGTGGCTCCTAGGCTACAAGCCTGTACTGCATGTTACTGTACCCAATACTGTGGGCAATTGTAACACCATGGCAGATACTTATGTAACTCAGCATATCTAAACATAGAAAGGATGCCATAAAAATATAATATAAAAGAGAAAACACAGCCAGGCTAAGTGGCTAAGCCTGTAATCCCAGCACTTTGGGAGGCCGAGGTGAGCGGATTGCCTGAGCCTGCTGGTTCAAGACCAGCCCAGGCAACTTGGTGAAACCTCATCTCCTCAATAAAATAAAATAAAATAAGTCTGCAGAGCATGGTAGCATGCGCCTGTAGTTCTGGCTACTTGGAAGGCTGAGGTGGAAGGATTGTGGAGCCCAGCAGGTCGATGCTGGGTTGGCCGTGAGTGTGCCACTGCACTCCAGCCCGGGCGACAGAGAGACTCAAACTCAAAAAGACAAAACAGCACATCTGTTTAGACTTATTGCTCTGGATAAATCTGAGTGAGTGCCGAGTGAATGTGAACATTATGTACATGACAGTAGCATCTGTAGACACACTGTACACAGAGGCTATACTATATATGAAAATATTTTTCTTCAATGATAATCTTAGCTAATGTAACTTTTTCAGTTTATAAACTTAAATTTTTTAACTTTCTAACTCTTGTAATAACACTCAGTTTAAAACACAAACACATTGTACAGCTGTATAAAAATATTTTCTTTTTATTGTTATTCTGTCACTCTTTTCTATTTAATTGTTTTCTAATTTCATCTTTCACTTTTTTAGCTACTTCGTTAAAAACGAAGACACTTTAGCCTAGACCTACACAGGGTCAGAATCATCAATATCACTATCATCTGCCTCCATATCATGTTCCACTGGAATGCCTTCAGGGACAATAACATGCACAGGGCTGTTATCTCCTGTGATAACAATGCCTTCTTCTGGGATATCTCCTGAAGGACCTGCCTGAGGCTGTTTTACAGATAACTTTTCTTTTTTTGTAACTTGAAGTACACTCTAAAATAATGATGAATAGAACTGGGTGCAGTGGCTCATGCTTGTAATCCTGGCATTTTGGGAGGCTGAGGCAAGAGGATTGTCTGAGCCTGCCTGGACAAAATGAGGAGACATCATCTCTACGATAATAAATAAACAAAATAATGATGAAAAGTATATAATATAGTAAATACATAAACCAGTTACATAGTTGTTAATTATCATTATTAAGTATTGTATAGTATACATAGTCATGTGTGCTATATCTTTGTATGACTGGCAGCACGGAAAGTTTCTTTACATCAGCATCATCACAAACATGATACATATGTTTTGCCGTTTAGGGCTCTGATGTCACTAGGCAATAGCAAGTTTTCAGCTCCAGTATAATCTTATGGTACCACCATCATCTATGTCTGTCATTGACCGTGCACCACAAATGTTGTTTTGTGATGCATGGCTATATCATGAAAATACAGCTGTCTGCCTCATAGGATTGCTGTAAAGATTAAACTTATCCAAAGCATCAATTAGTGACAATAAAGCCTGGTATTTGACGTTTAGCGGTAGACTGCCAGTAAATGATAGAGCATTTTAGTTTCTGTTAGAGGATTTAGTGGAAACGGTAAGAATCAGGGAACCCGAATATATCTTAAAGCTCTATGGGGTTCTAAATTCTGTGACTTTTGTTGTCTGCTCTTTTTCTTTTCAATTTATAGGCAGAGATCTGGCTCCACAAGCAGGCCCAGAAGGAGGGCTGGAGCAAAGCTGCCAAGCTCCATGGAAGGAAGACCAAGGAAGGCCTGATCGGGCTGTTCCAGGAAGGAAACACAACTGTTTTAGTGGAGGTGAGTTGTTGGAAAGTCCAGATGCCAAGAACAGCTGTCCCTTGGGTGTGAGGCTTGTGTAGCCCCTTTGCATTCTTTTTCTTTTCTTTTGAGTCAGAGTCTCACTCTGTCGCCCTGGCTGGAGTGCAGTGGCATGCTCGTGGCCACCGCAGCCTCTGCCTACCGGGCTCAGGCAATCCTTCCGCCTCAGCCTTTCAAGTAGCTGGAACTACAGGCATGAGCCACCATGCCCAGCTAGATTTTTTTTAAAAATTTGTTGTGCTGGGCTCGGTGGCTCAGCCTGTAATCCTGCACCTTTGGGAGGCTGAGG